ACAATGACAGCTCTGAAAAACGTGTTCTTCACATACTACTCTGTGGGGCGCTGTGATCAGCATCACCGGTCTGTCCCTCTTCACATACTACTCTGTGGGGCGCTGTGATCAGCTAGCAAATGAAGATTATGAAGGGTCATGATGCAGATCGTTTGAAAGCTGGGCTGCTCTGTCGAAGTTGTTTTGGAGTCCTTGCTAATGTTAATCTCTGCTCTGGACAGGCTGGACCTTAACAGCCAACTGGCCAGTGATACAGGGCTGACATCTGAGGAAACCTGTCGGCGGACAGCATCTACCTCATTGGTCGATGAATTTGGATAATCCCATGTTTGGACAACTCCTCTTCGTGCCTTTATATCTTCTGAAATAGCAAATTTGATTTTAAAAAATTGTAAGGAAGTAAATCTTTAGTAAAAATAGGTATTCTTAATGACAGAGTCAGTGGTGTGGCGTGGCCTGTTATTTTCATCAGAGGCTGCCTGTTTGCAGGAGTTATTTCAGTAAGCTGCCCTCACACACTGCTGCTGTCTGCAGCTGTTTGCCAGGCCCTGCTCTCTCCGGCACTGTTTCCCCTCACATGCATGGCACTCCTGCTGGACTCCGCTTCTCTCCATTGACCTGTCGTTGGTAAATCATCTCTGATTCTGGGCTTTGAATGACCACAAGAACCCACAGTAAATCAGCGCAGCCCCCAGTGGCAGCTCCACCTTAGGGGGGCAGCTCGGGGGGGTGGGGGTACTCGTCCAAAATTAAATGAGAAGTCAGACTGCAGCCCCATCTGCCATTTAATCGCTCATCCAGGGTTGATGGGATATTTTTGACAGGGAATCTAAAATGGGAACTTGGAGCTGACTTGGGAATGCAAACAGAACTTCTCAGAGATCTCAGAAAGAGAATGTGCATTTATCTGCCGTGTGAGCTGGATCGGCGCCGCTCCGCGGCTTTCACTGGGCTTGCCGATGCCCCCCTGGATGGACCAGTCATCCTACGCGTTTATGTACCATGTCAGCAGGATGATTGCTGCTCTGTGCCCATCTGTGACTTTTCTGGGGTGCAGTGCTGCCCCCCACTGGACGTAGCTACCTCTCTGTGGAACACGTGGCTGCTTAAGCCCCCACACTGCCTGCAGGCTCATGGAGGAGGAGCGAGGTGGATTTGTGGGGGAGGAGTGCTGTGTGCAGGAATGCGTGTACCAAGCCGGCTGCCCATCTGCCAAAATGTGCTGGCTTGGCAGAGGGCTGTGCAGTTGCCCTACTGTTTGCCCGAGACAGGCAGTGAGACAGCAGCAGCTTCAGCTGCTAGTGTCCTGTCCAGCCAGTGGCTGACTGTGGGACTGGCATTTTTATTTATGTGTGCCTGTGTATGTCTGTGTATTTGGCAGCTGGCACAGTGTGTCAGGGGGTGAAGGGGGGATTCTCATGCCAGATTACATTGCCCTCAGTGCCCTTCAGCCACAAAGCAAAATACACACAGACACACACACACAGACAGACAGACAGGCACACACACACACACACACAGACTGCCCTACAGACTGAACACATAAATCATGACACATGTACTCGGCGTGTAGGATGTACTGCTGAGGGTGACATTAACCATAATTTTTCTGTCCCTCAACCCTGTTCTTTAACTTTTTCTTTTAATTCCTAGTTTATTTATTCACTTCCCCATTTTTTTACCTGTTCCTCTCTTGTTTGCTCCCTCCTTTCTTCACTTATCTCTCGCTCCATCCCTCTGTCCTCCCCAGCCTCCTCATCCTCTCCACGAGTCCCATCTGACCTGGAGCAGTCTCGCCCTCAGACCAGCGGGGAGGAGGAGCTGCAGCTACAGCTGGCATTGGCTATGAGTCGGGAGGAGAATGAGAAGGTGAGACAGGTCCCGCTGGACCTCCTATGCACATTGAACACACTGATACACAGCCTGACACACACAGCAGGTGCTGGCTATGATTTGGGAGGAGAATGAGAAGGTGAGACAGATCCTGTTGGTGGGCTTTATGTATAATTTATATTTATATACACACATCACACATATTTTATCTTTGTGTGGATGGGTGTATAATTCTTGAATGCGTTTTAACAGACCCAGGTGCCAGTACTCACACTCACATACTATGCTATACTACACTTCTAATGTCTACCCACAGGGGGCGCTGTGTTTACACAGAGCCATCAGGTCATGCTTGATTGACCTGTCTGGAACATTTGAGGAAGCAAGCATTGGGATTGGCTACTGGGCTGGGAACTGGTTACATGGCTAGTAATTCCCCTCCTACTAGCAGCAGTCTCATCCTGCACCACAGCATCTCCCAGTGGCTAGAATAGCATATAAACTGATCGGGGTTAGGGTTGGGGTTGGGGGTGGGGTGCGGCAGAGAAACTTTTTGTAATTGACTCCCCCTCTCCTGTCGTAACTTACCCGCCATTCCCTAAATGACCCAAGCAACCTGGGATAAGCTTCCAAGTGCAGAATATTCATGTCCCATGAGTGGCACATTACGGCCTGACTCATTAATCTCATGGCCGTTTGTGAATCTGAGATGGCTCAAGTCCTCCTCACATATCGGGTTATGCTGTACAGAAGGCAGTTACACAGTACTGTCATGCAGAATATAATATCCAAAAGCCATTCTAGCACTATTTTAGTAAAACCGCCACTGTAGATGTCTCTGTTATTGGAGAGTAATCTAATTTACTTGGGAAAGATCTCTGAGACTGCGGACACCGCTGGTGGTACCTGAATTCTAGCAGAAAATAGTAACAGGAAAATAATATCCTCCAGTCCATGTGCAGAAATGGCTCCCTCAACAAATGACACTTGTTTTTGTCTCATTACAACATATGAACACAATGGGCACAGTTGGGTTTCACTGCCACCATGTGAGTGTAGAGTGTGAGTGCAGCTCTGTGTGCTGAGTCACCCTGCATGCCCTCACATGCAGCCCTCCCGCTGTGTGGACGTCGACGAGCAGACCCAGCTGCAGATAGCTCTGTGCCTCAGCCAGGAGGAGCAACCTCAGGTACGGGCTGTGAACCCTAACCCTAACCCAGCTGCAGATCGCTCTGTGCCTCAGCCAGAAGGAGCAGCCTCAGGTACGGGCTGTGAACCTTAACCCTAACCCAGCTGCAGATAGCTCTGGGCCTCAGCCAGAAGGAGCAGCCTCAGGTATGGGCTGTGAACCCTAACCCAGCTGCAGATAGCTCTGTGCCT